TTTTTTTTCAGCATATTATGGGGGTACAGATGTTTAGGTTACGTATGTTGCCCTTGCCCCCTCTCCCCCCCAAGTCTGAGTTTCAAATATGTCCATCCTTCGGGTGGTGCGCATTGCACTCTTTGTGTATGCATATACCCGTCCCCTCCTTCCTCCTCCCCCCTCCCCCCCCGCCTAACATCCAATAGGTGCTATTCTTATATGTGCACTTATGTGTTGATCAGTATTCACCATCAAATTGGTATTAACTGATCAAAACTGGTAAGATTTTTGAGAGTATTTACTGTTTGATTTCTGATATCTAATCTAGTACCTGATACTTAGTAGGCACACTGTAAATAGTTATTAAATACTTTCCTGATTATAAAAATTGTATCAGCTGAGAGACAGTACCTCTTGGTTGTTTTCTACCTAATTGTAATTTATGGTTATGCAACATAAAATTTTATAGAATATGTATCTATTATTACCTTTTGAAAAAGATATCACTCCTTTAATATTTTTTATTTGAAATAATCTAAAAATGTTTCTATTGATGAAACTCTTAAATGTTTTACAAGTCTAAGTATATATAACTATGTACACGTAGTTTCTGGAAGTTAGGGCATTCTGCTTTTATTTCTATAAAGGGAACATTGATTGCTATTTTATTTTGCTCTTATGTTCTTTGACCTAAAACCTAGTTTAACAAATATCTATGCTTATTTTTTATATGATAGTTTTCACATTTTATTTAAGCAACTAGTCAAAAAAGCTAAATAGAAAAATTCTCCTTTTTTCACATTATTCATTTCCTTGCCTGACTTATTAATAAATCTTAATCTCCTGACACTCATAAACATTCCAATAGAAACATCTTGTCAGAAAGAAGTATGGTAAAGGAAAGAAATATGAAGAAAACATGGTTAGTGGGAACACAATTAGAATAACTTAGAACTAACAGCCTGATTGTTAAATATTTAGAAACATCAGTTAAAACAATTTGAACGACATAGATAATTTTAAACTTTATAAATAAATGCTGCATTTTACTAAACATCATTTGGTTATTCATGTTCAAAAAAGAGTAAAAGTGCATCTTCCTTAATCTCTGGTACTGCCAACAGATTTTCTCACCTGGTCTCCTGCATAATCAAGCTACTGGAAACATCTTGTCTTCACTATATTGTAGAATGGGCATAACATCTCAATGTTGATGCATCCCTTGGGGTTTTTGTCAATGTATACCTTAAACCAGTACAGATTTCTGATGCAGGTGGCCCATGACACTTCTCAGGTTGCTTTTCCGTACTGACTACCTCTTGCAGCTATACACTTGTTCCGATTACCTCCTGAGGAGGCAAAACCTACCCCTGCTTACGGCTTTGCTGAGTTTTGAGAAGTTGTACACCCAAAGCTCAGGGGTCTAGCCTGCTTAGGGTGACAAAGCTGAGGATAGTTGGCAACACAGTTCTATTCAACTTGCATTTTAAAGAGAGGGGTTCTTTGAAATAGTGAGTTGTAATATGTATTAGTTATCTAAGACTGCCATAACGAATTGCCACAAACTGGGTGGCTTAAAACAAAAAAATGTATTTTTTCACAGCTCTGGAAGTCAGATGTCCGAAACCAAGGTCTTAGCAGGGCCCTACTTCCTGCAGAGGCTCTAGAGGAGAATATATTTCTTGCCTCTTACAGCTTTTGGTGGCTCTGGGGGTTCTTTGGCTTGTGAATACATCACTACATACTCACATTCCCTCCTCCTCTTTTCTCTCAAAACTCCTACCTCTCCTTGATAAGGATACATGTTACTGCATTTAGGGTCCACCTATATGATCGAGGATAAGCTCCTTCTCTCACAATCCTTAACTTAATCCCATCTTTTGCCAACAAGGAAATATTCACAGGTTCCAGGGATTAGAACATAGACATATCTTTTTGGGGGGACATAAATTAACCTACTATGAAATATATTATTCATTTTCAACTTAAACCATTCTTTCACCCTCTCTGTGTTCACCTTTCCTCCTATTTTAAAAAATAATTTTCAGCAAGTTTTCTTTCAGTCAATCATTAACTCTTTTGGCCATGTGCAATCTATTTAATCACTTTAGATTTACTGGGATTCTTTTCTGGATCAAGCTATGTGCTGGAATATAACATAGAATGATATTCAGTTATGTCATGAAAGAATGAACCTAGATGTCTTGAAGTATTTAAAAATAGTTTTTCAAAAGGTAAATGCTGAATAATTTTGAACCTGAGATAATGTGAAACATGTTCCAGTTAAATTATCTGCTATAATAGTATATAATTGTCTATTAAAATAGAAATATTTATATCTATATATTGATATATAAATACATATAGATAAGTACCTGGAATTTCATATATACAAATGGGTTTATTCCAATAAAACAATATGCCACATTAGCCTTCAGAACTTGTAAAAATTCCTCCATAGAAGACAATGATAAATGGTATCTGGATTCCTACTATAGCTCATGAAGCTTACTTAAACCTCAGAAAACTGCTGTAACTTCACTATAATAATATTAATAAACAAAATATATGCAAATACACTGTATTTTGTAGCAATATAGTTAATATTCTCTAAAATGTACAGTGAACTACAAGCTAGGCTGGTCACTGTTTCCAAAATACGTTTGCTTACTTCCTTCTTTTTTCCACCAGAAAAATATTTTCACAACCTCTCTGATGTCTCAGTAAATAAAACCACATTCTCTCATCCCCATACTCTCACACACATCACACACACAATAAAAAAGGAGAAAAGACAAATAAGCTTTTAAACTTTCTTGGGAGATAATATAGTATAGATGTCATTGCCTTTTAGTTCAATTCTGCACATTTTTGTGTACAGTGAGATCAAGTCCATTTTTGGGTGATTACACAACATTGATGGTAAGTGAAAGACTGATCTTGAATTTGGTAAAGTCATTGTAAAAATTAAAATTTAAAATGCTTTTAGTTAATTTGGATCTGAAGAAGTAAAGAGAACTATCTTGAAAGATCTACTTTATGGATAAAAACATACACATCTTTGTATATTTCTATTCCCTGTCTCTCTTTTGTTACTTCAAAGAGTTTTGAACTATGGGAAATTCATAGGAATATTGATTTTGATACATTTTAGTAGGTAAACTAATTGGTCTTTCAATGTTCCATCTGATATATTTTCCTGGATTATCCTATATTTGGCACTCATTTCCTTTTCTTCAAAACTTCACACTGTATGTGAAGATCTTCAAACAATAAGGTTGACCTCAATATTGAAAAGTGCACACTGGAGACAAACTAATGCATTAATATTTCCTCTCCTTTAGGAGGCAACCCATAACAGGTTTATTCCTTTTCATAGCTATCAAAATCAAGATCTACTTGCTTTACCCCACGGATCTGGAATGAAAGAATGGAGTCCTAGTCTTAGTCTTTTATCTGGTATCAGCTTGTCTTCTCTTTCAAAAAACAGAATTTCGATCACATCATAGGGAGCAAATGAAAATCATGCAGAGGTAGCATGGATCTAAACTTTGTAGCATAAAGTCAGAAACCAGTGTCACTATAGACAATTAGAAAATATATAAGGCCAAAAGATTGAAGAAAGCGATGTCATTAATTTTACATTTTTATTTGGAGGGATTAATGAATGAAAGCAAGGCACTCCATTTGTACTAATGCATGAAAAATATTTGCCCTTAAAAGATTTGTATTCCTTTGGGAAACAATACATAAGCAAGGATTGAAAGTAAGCCATGCCATTTAATTTACTCTATTGAGCAATAGACCTCATTCTCTTTCCCTTGTAATTATTCCCAAGTATAAAAATCAGCAGTTAGATCATCATGTAAGTAGTATTATCCTAAGGACTTTTGGCTTTGTATGAATAGTATATTTAAGAATAAAAACAGAAAAGTCCTAAATTCAACTGAACCTTAATAAAAGGAATTGTGAAACCTAGATGTGGCAAGTTCCAGCAGGGACAACATCTTCATGTTCTTTGGTTAGTCAATTGTATTTTATGTACCTAATATTACATTTCAAGAAACAATAATAGCTTGAGCCAATTTGTATTTAGAGAGTTCCCTTACAAGAAAGAACTCATCATCAAAAATTTGCATTATTAATAAATAAGTTTTAAGTTTGGAACATTTCAATCATTTTTATGATTGCTTTTCAGATAATACACAGTGTCCAGTTTCTTCTTTTATTAGCATGAATACTTCAACTAGTACAAGTAACTTTACCTATGACAAAATAACAATGAAAAGGAGTATTTGCTTTTAGTGTATGTCTAAAACGTAGCTAGAAAAAAACACTTTATGGATTATAAAATAATTTAGTATACTTAAATTATAATTTAAATAAGTATGTAAGACTTAATAAAGAGAAAACATTTGAAAAATAATGTTATGAAAAATTATCAATATTTATGTCTAACTTATTATATGTCAGATATGACTGTATTGGTTTTCCTTGGAATATTTGTGAACACATGGCAAGCCAAAGGCAACATGGAAGTCACTGTATGGTGAAAGATAATAAATAAGTAAATAAGCAAATAAATAAGAAAAAAAAACCTTTCATTCTTTACACTGTTAAGAAAACCAGAGCAACTGTCTGTTGTCATGTGATTTTAGAATTGCAGAAGGAAAAAAACATATTAATGTGAAATTTTATCTACATAAAGCTAGTTAACACCAGAATTTGTCTCTTTATATTACGGAAATACTCAAAATAGCCAACTTCATCACTATCTGGACTTGAATTCAAATAAACTTCTGTGTTATTTTATAGGCACATACACTATTTTAACTATTAAAAGACTTGCCTTTAAAATAAATAAGTTCTACCTATAGCAGTCAAGCTGCTTTACAAAATATTTGCATTCTTACATTGACATAGCCTATGTCAATGTCTGCTTACATAGGCTTACATTCTTACATTGACATATGACTTCTTGGTCGTATATATTAATATATAAATATTTGAAATCCTACCTGTAACAAGAAAGCTGCATCTCCCGGCTCCAGCTTCATTTATGATGCTACAATTATAAACGCCATAGTTTTCATTGGAAAGACTCTTCACTGGATACTCTGTGTACTCCTGAGAGTCAAACTGACCGGTCCGTAATAATTTATTGCCCAAGCGCCACTCATAGGTCAGCACCCGTATTGGATAGGCTCTCAGTACTCTGCAGCTCATAGTGACACTTCGGTCCTGTCCTTGCCGGATTTCCAGGAATGCTGGTTCCACAGCAGGGGGATCTGCAGAAAAGATATGTTAAAACAGATGAATGATGTGACTCACAATAAACCAATGGCTATTCTTATTATGAGAAGCTATTTTTGAGAACATGGACAGCAATAGGGAAGGAGTATAAGAGGTGGGTGGAGAACATAGTTAGGCCCAGGAATTTCAGCTTGCTTCGGAAAATGTGATGTCCAGAGTGTGGGCAGTGAATGAGCCTCATTGCTTTACAAAGGTGTTTGCAGGTAAAACTAGCAAAATTAATTTTGTTTTCTTTCTAGCTGCTTCCCAGAAAAAAATTGTCCTGTGTTTGTTTACTGTCAGTAGCCAAATGGTGTTCTGTCTGTGAAATGCAGAGTAAAGCTGGGGCTCCAAACTACTGTGAGAATTTGAAACAGATAATGCTTTAGGTTCAAGTCAGTGAATTCTAATTATTCCCATGCAAGGCTCACAGTCCTTGGGTCTCTGGGTACCCATTATTTAATAAAACAGGTAACATGATTATATGAATTTATTTTCTAAATTATTTGGTCTAATCTTGTTTGGCTTCGAGTCATAATATTAATGTGTAAACTTTAAGCACACTATTTCATTTGTTTTTCATAACATGGGTCTCCTTTCTCATTGCCAATCTGTTGACTGATCCTTCTTACTTCTTTCAGCAAATATTTATAAACTACCCTGTTAATTCTAATATTATTCCTTTACTTAATTTTTGGTTTGGGGAACTTTCTTAAAAGTGGTAAGAATTTTTAAAAATGTACAATAAAAACAATGCCTACTTTCATGTACTTCATGGTCTAACACAGAAGACAGCCATTTAAAAAGCTAAATTACAAACCTGAAGTGTGAAAAATAATTTCAGGGTAGTCAGCAAACAGACGTGAATGACACTATGAGGATTGATTGCATCTCAAGAAAGATGATATTTGAGCTGTGTTTTCCAGGATATGTAGGAAACGATCAGGTTGGTAAGCAGTAAGGGAGGGCACTCCTGGTAGAGAGATGGGTATAGGCAAAGGTAAGGGGAAGCTAGAGAGGAGGGAGTGTTCAGAGAAAAACAAATGGATTAACACAGCTGATAAACAAAAGGCCATTGGGGCTTGGGGTGGAGGGGAATTAAGTTGGAAAGAAAGGCAGAGACTCCATTCAAAGATACTTGAATGTCATGCTATGGAGTTAAAATTTAATCCCGGTATTGGGTGGGAGGTCTTTTAAAATTTTTAAATAAAGAATTTGTATGTTCAAATTAATTTTTTAGGAAAAATATCACAACAAATAGGAGACACAAAAACCACAGAGGAAAGAGACAAGTTGCAGAGAAAATAACATCATTGGTGAAAGCCTGAACAAAGGTGAGGTCAGCAGGACCTCATGATGCCTTAGGCAAGGAAGTGGATAATGGTGTCAGCTATGAAGTCGGGGAAGAAAAGGAGAGGCAGTCTTACATATAATGGGCATGCTGATTTTGTGCACCTGTGAATCACATACCTAGTAGCAAAGTGTTTCTTCATTACTAAACATATGCGTTATGTTTTATTATCTCTTTGCTTTTGATTTTTTGCTTAACTAAATTGTGGTCAGAGAAAATAATCCATATATTTTTAATCCTCTGAATGTGTTGACAAGTGCTTTATGGGACAATACATGATAGATTTCTGTCCTGTAAGTGCTTGCAAAGAAGGAAGAGCCTGAAGTTTTGAAGCACGGTATGTATCTGTTGGGTCAAGTTTGATAGTTGAGTTGTTCAAATTATCCATATAGTTCTTTCTTTCTTTATTTTTTGCTTACTTATTCTAGTTGGATTAACTTAGGAGAGTCTATGAAACCCTTCTCAAAGTGTATTAGTTAAAAAAAATCTTGTAGTTCGGTCTCCTTTTTGCTTTACCTATTTTGAGGCTATGCTATTAAGTACATATAAATTTTAAATTGCTTTATGTTGTTCATGAATTGAAGCTTTTATCAGATAAAAGCTTTTAGAGATAATATCTTTTATCTCTACTTACACTTTATTTTTAAAAAATCTATTTTGTCTAGTATTATTATAGCTACACTGGCATTCATTTAGTTAGCATTTGCATGTTATATTTTATTCTTATACTTTCAGTATCCTTATATTTTACAAGCATCTCTGTTAAACAGCATGTGTTTATGTTCTATTTTTTCAAAGAGTCTGACAATCTTTTTATTTTACTCAGAGCACTTAGCACTTTATTCATTTGCATTTACTGTAACTGCTTATTTTATACTTCTGTTTCATTTTGTACTAAATTTACTATACCTTCTTATTTTGTATTTTGTATTTGTTTTCTATTGCCTTCTTTTAGATTGATGTATTACATTATTATTCTAACCATTTTCTTGCTACTAGTTGAGTATTTACTTACTCTTATTTTGATTGTCTGAAAGCTTCCAACATGCACACTCAAGTTATCCAAAAACATCAATCAATACCCTTACCTTATTGAACAAAACAATAATCCAAGGACAATTTATTACTTTTATTCTCATCCTAACATGTATTTAAAAGAAATATATTGTCAATATTATAATTTTATACCTGCACCATTTTTAAAAGATTTATTGATATACGCCAGCTTACTTGCCCTTCATTTCTTCTTTCATTACAGACCTCCCATCAGTGAGGTCCTCCCTTGTGTTTAAACTCATTATTTGGAACTCTCTATATAACTTTTAGTGAATTTTATGATAGTAATTTTCTAAAAAATATATTTTGCTTGGCGAGCCATGAAACCAAGGGCTCTTAACGCTATGATCAAAGATTGAAGTCTTCCATAGGATACTATAGTCACTCGACAGTGCTGTTTTCATGAGGAGAGATAAGACTTAGCCACTCGTAATCATGAGATAATAATCTATGATTAGTGATATGGGAAAGGAAATAAATGTACCAAAGTCAAAAAAATGTATATTTTATCCCCATTATTAAAAGATATTTTTCTTGTACACAGGGTTATAGGTTGGTAGTTTATTTTAAGTACATCATTATGTAATTCCTCTGTCTTTAGATGGCCATTTTTTGTGGAAATAGGTGAACTCAAAGTTTCACATTTTGAAGTGAATGTCTTCTTTTCCTCCAGCTACTTTCAAAATCTCTTTGTCTTTGGTGTTCCTCAGCTTCAATATGTTTTTAGGTATAGGTGTCTTTCTACTTACAGGTTTGGTATTTGTCAGGCTTCTTAAATCCGTTGATTTAAATCTGGTGTCTTTCCTCTGGGGAAATTTGGAAATTCTCATCATCGGCTCTTCAAATAATGCCTCTGTTCCCTTTTTTATATCCTTATTTGATGATCCTTTTCATTCTATCTTCCATATATTTTAACCTGTCTTCCAGATTTTCTGTTATTTTTGGTGGTTGTTTTTCTGTACTACATTGTGAATACATTCTTCTGATCTAATTCAGTTCATTAATTCTTTAATTCTGCTTAATCTGCTGAACATTCATTGTGTTTTTAATTCCAATAGCACAGTTTTAATATATAAATTTTCTGTGTTCTTTTTTATACCTGCTATGCCACTTTTTATATTTCTTCATTACCTGAAAATGTAGTCAAGCTTGTCTTTTATTTCTTTAAACAAAGTAATTGTTTTAAACTGATAATTCCAAGTGAAGTTTTGAGGGTATTTTTCTGCTGGTTATCTCTAAGAGTACCTTTTTTTCTGTGCATTCCTGATTGATTTTGAGTTGTGCTGTTCATTATCTTTAAAAATATTTGCGGGATATTTTGGTGCCTAAAAATGATAGTTTCTTCCTCCAAAGCAGATTTGTATCCACAGGCAACTATGGGCATCACTCTCTAGGACTACATTTATCTAAGTGCATGGCATGAGGCTTATTTGAACCATCAAGTGACCCTAATTTTAGTTAAAAATCCACATAAGGGCCAGCTTGTGACTATAACTTCAAGCATGGATTCCAACATCATCCCAACTTGGTCACCCCCAAATAACAAGTTTTTGCACTCCTTTGGGAGTAGGAATGTGTAGACTGGGTTTACTTCTGATTTACTCTTACCCGGTGCATATAGTACTTTAAAGTCCAACTGCTTGGAGGAAGGGTCTACCAATAGACTCCTCCTCCAGTGAATACTTTGAGTTTGGAGTTCTGTACCCCTTGCCCAGAGATGCCAACAAAATTTAAGCTCAAATTTGCCCATGTTTAGCAAATTCCCTGAGGGCAAATGTAGCCTCATTGCATTGCTTTCATTAAATTTGACAAGGTTTATTTTTAATACATGTTTTATTTAATAATATTTTAAAAATATTTCTCAGCATTTTTAGTTATTTTAATTGGAAGATTTTGCAAACTATTTTGTTTTTTATATGCCCAGAAATACATATCTCTGATAGTCCAGTGGAAATATGGATCCAAAACTCAGAAGAAAGGACTGACTGTAGGTTATAGTTCTACAGAGATAGCTCTGAGTCAGTGTAGAAAAAGAAATATACAACACCAAATTTGGCTTTGCTCTTGAATACAAAACTTACGAGGTTAGAGAAAAACAAAACCTCCTGAAGGAGAATAAATATAAATAATCAAAGAGATATGGGGATCCAGAGAGTTGTGTTACAAAAATTAAAGGCATTGCATGTTTCAAAGAACATGAAAGTGGTTGAAAGTGTCAAATGCTATGAAGAAATGAGTTAAGATTGAAAATATCTGAAAATATCTATTTTTTAATAAGTTTAACACCATTTATGATGATAATGAAAGTATGTTCTATCGAGTATACAGAATCTAGTTTACAGGTTTGGGGCATGTAAATGGATAATTAAAGAGTAGACACAGATAAGGAATGACAACTGTTTCTTCAAGAACACTGCCTGTAATTAGAAAAGAAAGTTGTTTCTATTGATCTACCTTGAAAATATATTAAGAGCTTATACATTTCTTTCCATCTCTACTGCCAATTTCATTATCTCTCACATGGACATCTACAAATTTCCTGCAATACTCTTCTAATAGGACAATGTGCTCTTTTGACCTTTTCTCATT